ATAACACTTACTCTTCTCAGATTTTCATCCCAGATTTCGAAGAATTTCGATGGAAAAGAAATAATTTCGTCGTTTAACTTGAAGGAAAACATATATTTCCTAATGACAAAAGTTGCATTCCATAAAAAAGCATGGCAGAGGACTATGGTCGCACAATCGTGAGACGATCGTGGATATTTATCAATTAAATAATATCCCTCCGATTCATCGGAGGTGTTGTTTGTAACGTTTCACTCTCGTTTAACTGGGAGCAAATTTTCTTTCCTTAACGATTACATCATTAGGTACATGTACGTAAGGATCGAACAAACATACAAAAACTTAAAACAGGATAAATGACTAAAACGATATTTGCAGGTTCCACGCGTAACGTGCAAATCGATTTTTTTTTCTTTTTTTTTTTCAAAGTTGCAACGATCTCGATTATCTTCTTTCACAGTTCGTTTCACATGTAATGACGAACGTACAATTTCTTTATGGCACTCAAAAATAAGGCACTCTTGGTAAATGACGATAAAAATACATAATACTGGTGAGATGACATTTAAGTTTTTTCGCCAGCCACAGCACATTACTCTTTCTCCATCTTTATTCTCACTCACAATCATTCTTCTATCGTTTCAATTTTCCTTTCCCTTAATTACATATTGGTTACTAATGAATCGATACATATGCAACCATTATATACCACAATCCAATTACCTAGTCTTTAAGTCACTTGCTTTTTTTTTTATCATCCAATAAAATCCGATCTAAGATGCCGATCTTCCGTTTTAATTACAGGGACTAGCCGGCTGACTGTTCGTCGCTGACGACTGCATCATGATCGATTGTACAGCGAGCACCGGCGATGTAGTCGCTACAGAGGTCACGGTGTCCGAGTGGTGGTGATGATGATGATGGTATAGAGCGGACGCGTAATATTGCTGATGATGGTGATGATGATGGTGCGGATGATGATAACCGCCAGTTTCCTCGTTATTATTGTTGCCGGTAGCGTTGTCGTTGCTCTGGTGATGATGATGATGACCGTGGTGATGATTATTGTTCACCGTAGCGCACAATGGCGACGTCGGCGACGGAGACGACTGCGAATTGCTGGCGAGGATGTCGTGAACTGTGTGAGGACTTGGCCACTGCAGACCGGCGGAAGTGGTCGTCTGATGGCCAATGCCAGCGTGAATAGCGGTCGGAGAGGACGGTGACAGCTTGCCCGGCGTCGTCGGCCCAACTGGAAACGCACCGGTACCAAATTGGTATGGAGAGGTTCGTTCGAATTCGATTATTCAGCGCTCGTATCAGGATGGAAGAAAGAGACGCGACTGTTGCCTGATATCCCGCGAGCTCGTTGCTAGAACTGAACGCACACTTCAAGTTGCGCTGGTGGAGAACAACATTTTTCTTTCTGGGCAAATTTGTGTTTTTGTTCTTCCTCTCTGTTCTTCCTCGCTGTACTGAGGTACGAACAGAGAAGAGGTATACATCTACTGTTCTTCCACCAATGTGTCACGTATCGTGCTCGGTAAGTTGGCGTCTCCAGCGAGAACTTTGTTTGAAAAGTAACTCTTAAAAGCTGCCCGGGAGTTACACTAATATTATATACTATATACTAGGGAAATGGAATGTCACTTTTATTTTAGAAATAACTAAATATACGTCCACTCACAGTAGCCTTCAAGAGCTATTCGCATCCGATCACACGCGATAAATAGATGCCTGTATATATTTATAGGTATAATTATCTACTGCAACGCTGGTCAACGTGAACGCGGAAAATGGAAAATCACAGAAAGTTCTCGCTCGAGGAAGAAGAACAAGTCGCGAGGTCATTGAGGCTACCAACCTTGATGATGATGATGGTGGTGATGATGCGTTACAGCGGGCGGCGGCGTCGCGTGATAAGGCGTCGGTGGATACGGGACAGGACAGAGGGCAGCTCCAGCCGCGGCTGCGGCCGCGTACAAGTGATGATGATGGTGATGATGCGCCGGATGATGGGGATGATGATGAATCGCGGTCGCCGCGCCGACTTTGTTCCTCAATATCCTCGAGATGCTGCTCACCGATGGCACGTTGTATTTGTCGCATACGCCATCCGACAGTAAACGATCCCTAATCTCCCATGCGAAGATACCAGGATCCTTTAGCTTCAATTGTTTGATATACTGCACCACTTTTGGGGTGGTGACACGGGGTTTGCTGCCACCGATCGCACCAGGCAATATGCTGCCTGTCTCGTGGTATCGAGCCAAAATCTTGCTGACACAACCATGGCTGACCCGCAGCTGTCGCGAGATGTCGCACGGCCTGATGCCCAGCTGTGCAAGTTCCACTATTCGCAATCTAACTGCGTTTGGCAAGGGTCGACCATTCACGAACACACCTCCTAATTGGTTCACCTCGCCGTACTGTTGTTGCTGCTGTTGCTGATGCGGCTGCTGTTGCTGTTGCTGCTGTTGATCTGCACGGAGTTCGCTCGCGTTACTCTCTGTCCGTGAACAATGCCGAATGATGCATTAGTTATTCAAATAGAGATAAGTTTAACATGTAAGTTCATTATTTCTGTTAAGTCTAAAAATCTAAGGGTAAGAATTTTCGTTGTTGATCTGAAGAGTATATGACACTCGCGTGTCGACTCTGAGAAAAAGAGTTGGAAACAATCGAAGAAAAATTAGGCGATCAGTCTTTTTTAATTCGGAGTTTGCAGATCGACTCGTGATCGAAAGATCAACGTGACATCGACTTACAAACTCGCCGCGAGTCAAAGGCGCAGATCATTTTACGTCGTATTGGAACGTGAAACAAGCGAGTAATCTCACATCGATTCGACGGCTACTAAATAACTCGACAATAATATACTTCGCATCAGAACTTACACCTGGCGCCTTGGGTTCGTTTTAATGAGATGCAGATGTATGTCGGTCGCTCGCCTCTACTCGGGCGAGCTTGTCTGTAACAACCTTTAATTAGCGAAGCAATGCCCTAGCAATTGCCTCTAACTGCGTTCCAAACCCACCTAAATTCCATCCGTCGGTAAGCAAAGACAACAAACTCGTTACGAGAATAATAAGAGAGCTATCTTTAACTCGAGACCGATGTTCACGTGTTGTTATGATTCTCAACTAACGGGCACGTTAATTTCCCATTGTCCAGGAAAACAGAGAGATTTATGGACGAAGCTCAAAATAATATTTCCCGACAATATTAATAAATATTCGATTCTAAACAAAATTTTTGCGACCGACTTGGAACAAATGGTAAATCAACAAGATCTAAAAAAGACTGAAACATCTTCCTTTTTTGCAGGCAGATGTCTCGGGTGCAAAAACGTTAATGCGTGAACATCTTCCAGGGTTCTTTGATGTCGAGGATCGAACGCTCCTTTTTCCTTTTGTATCTATTTGAGGAGGCGCGGAGTGGGAATAGAGAGGTGAACAGATATCCGTGAAGGAAGTACGAAATCGTCACCGTGGAACGCAACAGTAGCCCTTCCTCCAAGGGAGAAAATTTATATGGCTTGCCTTCTTTCTCTCTTCGGTTACGTCGATTTTCATCGCGTCCCTACTCGTCGTTTCTCTTTTCCACACGAACACCAAGCCTGCGACGTACGCGCATTACGGAGAAGAGGAATAAATAAGAAAACCGCAGCGGAAAGGAAGGCCTTACGATGCCTCCGTGATTCCTGGAAAAAGAGTTTCGTCGCCGACGCCGCCGACCGTAGAGACGCGTTTTTACGCGGCCACCGGCCACCATTTTTTTCTTCGACATCCCCTCGATCTCCCCATAATGGCGGCTTCTTGACAGAGGCGCGAAACACGCGCCTTCTACGCCACATTTCCACTATTAACGATAGGCCATCGATATTACGCGGAGCGAAGAAGTTTGTTTTTGAACTTGCCATGCTTGAAATAATTTCGCTTTGCTGATAATCTCCTTTTCAAAGCATTTCAAAGGCAGGATGCATAAAATATTTTTTTTACTCATATTAGATACAATTGATTGTTTAAAAGTATGTTTTCCCTTTATCTACGTTAATTTAACAATTAGAATTTAAGGAGGAATGTAAAACTGTGCTATCCCTCCTCGTAATATTCTTTTCATTTTTGTTATTAATACTCTTATGTTGCTCAACGCAATTTTCACTCACCGTTGACAGATTCATAAATATTTCCTTTTCATTTCGTAAAGATGAAAGGTTTCGTTTTAATCGAAAGACAAACGAGGAGGCGGTTTTCCAAGAATCACCCTGTTAAAAGGAGCGAGTTTTTCAGCGGATCGCCGGTTCGGGGAACGAACCCCGACGCGACGTGGCCCGTTAAACTCCAACGATTTGAACTTAATGATCCGCGTTACATTAAAGCTCCGTCTTTTTGCCGGCAAACCAGTCGATCGCGGAGGAGTAGCGCAGGCTCGTTAAACGGAAGACAAGCCTCGTGGTTTATGCGTGCTTCACGTCGGCTCTATTCTATAGGTGAGTAATTAATGAGAGGATAAACCGCTTGCCTGATAGATTTACAATTACAATGAATTTCCTTGCCTTTCCTAGCTGTTCCCACCTCACCGAGTAGAGACGACACTCACGACAGAATTGAAAATAAAATGAAATGAGTTGAAAACGATTTTTAAGAAGAGAAAGAATTCCTGTGATTATATATTTAGATATCAAGTTATTTACAGTCACTGACGAAAATGAGAGAAAATGCAACGTAGACATGTGCTCGATAGCAATACAAGTGAAACAATAATTATCTGTCTTCTTGATTTTTCGTGGATATAGAATAGTGCACTTTGCGTTCAACGAAATCTTTCTTTTTCATATAACATAAAAAGCAAATATTTTTTTGTCTTTGGGGCATTAATCTTCGGGTCTTAAAGGACCTAGCTTTAGAAATCGAATGAGGGTACATAATATATATATTCTCAGCGGTATATGGGTCTCTCCCAAAGTCTTCCAGCTTGTAAATTCAACCGATCACAAAAATGAAAACATACTAATTCAACAAGACGAAATCCGGATGATATCGTGATTGTTCACAACGGTACATTTTTAATAAATCAAATGATGTTACATTTCAATAGATATCAAAACATAGGTAGCTTTTAAATATCTGTAGGTTCCAAGCTTTTTATGAATGAAATGTTCTGAGAAAAAGGGAGAAGACAAATGATAAAAAGATGAATGAAAAAAGTGGGAAGAACTACAGAAAGAGAACATAATAATTCAGATTTTCCATTGTCTATCGATATTAAAAAGAAAAAAAAAAAAATCGATATTCCCCGGTTTATAATATTAGAAAAAAAGGAAGGATGTCCTTTTCTGATATTATACGAGAAGAAGATGCTCCTGGTGCAGAGCATGTGTGCAGACGCACACGCGTGCAACGATTCATCCTCCTCAGCAGTGGATGCGTGTATTACACGCGTGTAAAATGACTATACACGTCGGACCCTTTGATGTCAGCCATTCATCACCGCGGACCGGAGAAAAAGTCTAATAATATTGCGTGCACGGTGACGTTCACGCGCGTGTGCGCGCGTGAAATGGGTAGATTGTCGGTTCCACACGACGATTCGCAGACGTATGCATCCACTCGATCTTCCTACGGCGATTTATTCCTTCTTGATTCACGGGATCCGAGTGGTGTTCCTCGCGAGGACGACGAGAAAAGAGATGAAAAGGTAAGAGAATGAAATGAATCACAAGCTGACGAATTTACCACAATCGTGGATTATATTAGAGAAACGATGAAAGTCACGCTCGTGATCGAGATTGATAACGCGAGTCCAAGTGTAATTGACAACGTCCAACCGTAACACGAACGTTGAATGGCCGATTCATCGAAAACGATGTGGATGAAAGGTACATTGTACACTTGATATTAACTCTTTATTTATTAGAATTAAGAGTATCTAAATCCTTCGATGTCCTTCGTTCCTTTCGATGCAGTTGAAAGCTATGAATGAACTTTATAATAATAGCGTTTATTTGCGTACATTATGTTAGTAATTTGTGTTTTCCTCACATGCCTGAATTACAATTCGTAAATGTCATGTCAGACGCATGTTCCACATGCACATGTATCGTATAATTTATACTGCTGTTATTTTGCCAAATATTCTGAAATTTTGTGATTTGAATAGGTTCCAGGCATTTTTTAATAACATTCAAGTTATATTATCATAGTGCGTATTAGCACGAGTACAGTTTACAGATTAACAATTCGAACAATCAATTGTTCATACTTTATTAATTTACTTTGCACACCAGTGCAGTACTGACTCGTTTGCCAAGAGTTATAGTTATTCGTGTAAACGGATCCACCAATTATTCCTCGTGGCGCGCGCGCTTCGTTCCCCGAGGAATTAAGAAGAAAACGATAAAATGGCACGGAGACGGCGAGGGAAGGATCGGCTAATTTGGTAGCTGGAAATTTGCGAAAACGATACCGGGGAGGCGGAACAAATTGTCGCTGATAAAAGAAGCAGCAAAAATCGTCCTGTACACGTTGGTGTATAAGTAGAAAAGTTGAACGGCGAACACGCGAGCCCCGTTCGTGATGTGGGCGTGCACCGGACGAGTGATGGATGTCAGTGTCACCCTCGAAAACACGTGTTCCGCTTGCATAGATGCCCGAAACGCGACCAGTGTTTGTCTACCATTCTCACTCGCTAATTATCGACCCCTGTGTCCGTTCCCCTTTGTCGGTTTCTCGCTACTCTTTTATAGAAACGGATCTTTCGTTTAATTTCCGTGGCTGCGTGTGCACCACCGGCGGCCACATGTCGCTGATTAGTTCCTTCCAACGTCGCATCGTCACATCGAAGATTAAAGGATCTCCCCCGTTTTACACCGCGAACGCGAAACAACGTTAAAACGGTCTGCACCGATCTGGAGCAAACTTTGCCTCGAGATTCATTGGATAGTGATGAGAACAGACACGTTAGATTAGGCTAACATCTCGCGAATAAGAAAGAACATCGACTGGAACTTAGACGAGACAGGTTTATAATGCTTTAGAAATGGAACCGATCGAATCTCATTGAATGAAACTTTCATGGTAGAAATTTACTCGTACTCGTGGCTGCGTGATTGAAGTTGATTCCATCGCTACTGTTGAACATTCGGTAATGAAATTAACGAAAGGATGGCTAACGAGGTGGACTTACGAAGCCACGTAGAGATTCGTGAGATCGTTTCACGGAATGGAAGTGTTCTGAAGGGTCGTGAATCTTGGTATTTAGCCGGAATACTTAGCAGAATACCGAGTCGATGCACGGGCACAGATTTATAACACGTGTATCCGCGGACGTTCAAAATAGTCCTGTCATGTTTCATCATTATTTCCAGAGGCCTCATAACCTGGGCACTGGCCAAGCGGGGTTGTTAGAATCTATGCGCCATCCCTTGTAAAATTAGTAATTAAGAAAAGATCATCGAACTGTGCCTTCGATATTCTATTCGTTGTGTCGTTCTAGCGGATTCTAAAAATCTGTCGCGTTCGTAATACTCTTACACAATGCTTTATCAACTAGAATATTAATAAATTGAAAATTGAAGTTAGAAGTTAGAAGTTACACATTTATCGTTTTTACGATTTTATATTTCATTAGACGGGATAATTTGTAATTTGTAAACTTGTCTCAAATCTCATTCATTTTATCAAGTTAAAATATCCAATAACACTTAACTAGTAAAAATCCCAATTTTTTTAAAGATTCCATTTTTTTAAAATAAATTTACACGTAAATCATTTATTTTGTTCGATTTTTTTAAGTATAGAGACAGATGTAGTTCATGCGTTAACGTGAATGATGAATGTGTAACTGTATAACATACAACTTTTTAAAGGAAACTTATCGAAATCAAGCATTGAAAGAACGGGTATCGAATCTTTTCCCATATTTTTATTTACAGGTTTTATTTATAAGCGTGAAATTTATGCAACACGATGCACAAGGAAATTAATTATACGCTAATCGCGCTACATTTTTCACGATAACCGTTTGACCTCGTCGAATATATAGTTTCATCATAGCTCTGCAGATTTCCAGCAAAGTATCTGTCGAGCACAGCTACTTACAATGATTTTCAATTGAACTTTCTGATCCCTCTTTTAATGAAACGCGAATCCTATATTTATTCCA